GCCCCGCGTTGATTTTTAGGTGCCCAAGTAAGCGTGTTAGTTTTTTTTATAGATACTTAAACTTTCTACCTTTTACTACCCCTGCTACAATTGTATACTCACCACTCAGAGATAATTCAAATAGATCTGGATGGTCTGATTATCCATGATAATATAGGTTCCTGTGCAGTTGTACCAGTTCCCCTTAAACTATATTTTTGCTATCCTATCGATAGTTGTTATTGACTCTGTCAATGCCTTCTGTTTTTAAATTGATCATACCATAAGACTAGCTTATGTTTTAACGTCTGCCTAACCTGTCTTAACCTTAACGTAATTTTAGTGATTTTCTTTGCTGTTATTTTGTAGTACCTCGCCTATGATTAGGAAACTCCTATGAGGCACCTCCCCCACCCAAAAATCTGTTCTTATCAGCTTAATNTAATATCTGATACGTTACTCATAGAGTAACTAGATATTAAACTAATTTTTGGACAGCGTCTCTCAGCTTCGAATTTATTCGATGAGAAGACACGGATTGGGTCCACCATATAACATAAATATAGATTTTATTACTTCCCTTTAATACACTTGAACTTCAACAAGAATTTTAAATTCTTAATTAAAAACAACACTTAAAAAACCATTAAGAATAGATTTGTATCGTAAATTCTGACAACTATTTAATCTATCGCTCGATCATCCTCTTTGAGTTTGGAGTCAGCCTGAACGAGTTGTAGACTGATTAAGTTGAGTTTCATGTGGAAAAGTTGAGAATTTAGAATGAATGGTGTTGGAGATCCGTCTGTGTCATCAATTTCTTTCGCCGACGACCTCCATTCATCTCTTCTCAAAATCTTTACCAGGTCGTTCGGGATCGTATTAAATTAAGGATCCGCCCACTTTGGTGGACTTGATCGTTAATAATACTTCACGAGAGCTGTTTACCGGTTAAAAAAAACTAACCAAGCATGAAGAGGCATTCGATGTTGTAAGCGATTATACAAACTTAAGATCAAGTTATATAAGTGCACCTAAAAGAAATTTCAACCGTGAAATAATTAACTGATACTCTTTGCAACTTAGTAAGCATTTGTAGGCGTTACGTTTCATAGTATAATTATTTAGTATTCTGAAAAAGTAAGCGTTAAACGTTTCGTATTAAATAAAAATTTATTGAGATCAAGTCGACTATTTACCATAAAAAAATTTTTTTAAGAAAAGTTCTTGCTAAAAATTATCTAAATTAATTTTTAAGAATTTTTGGATAGCGATTAGGGGACAATTTTAAAATTTGTCTCGACTTAAGAGAAGAGATTAACTACATATGATGGTTGTGAATGTTAAAAATGTCAATATAATTTTATTGTTTCAGTCAATATTCTTTATTTTATGTGTCATTACAAAGACAAAACAAGACAAAGTTCCTTTAAAAATGCTGTAAGTATTTGTATACGTTTTTAAAAACTTTTAATACATTTTTTAAATGAGAATTTATTCGACAAATTGTAAGAAATTTTAACTGTAAAAAAACATCTTTATATACTTCAGTTTAGATTTTGTTTTTTCTTCCTAATGTTAAATATAAGGCTTTTCAACATAGGAAACATCAAGAGGGTGTTTTTGTTGTCTTTAAAAAGTAAAAAGTTCCTTTTGTAATAATTGAAGATTATTTCAAAGCACAAAAACGAAGTTTTCTTGTTAAATGTAATATTTTTCAATGTTGAAAAAAATGAAGAGAATAATCGAATTTGACTGTCATGCAATTATCATAAATTTATTAATCCGAGGCATCTGCAGACTGTTTTTTTTCATATTTAACATCAGAAAAGTTATACAGCAAGCAAAATTAGTCATAGATCTATTATCGAGTAAACGATGCCTGTTTTCGGAAGAATCACGAACATAAATTATTGCAGTACTCAAAATAACGCATTTAAAATTAGTGAAAGTGGCCATAAAAACTTTGTTCGCAGAATCTTTTCCTTCTGGTGCCACATAAGGAGACGAGGAAGGTGGTGGAGGGAAAGAATAATTATTGATTCAAGTTTTTTAAAAATCTGATTAGGAAAATGTGAAAGCTTAGTATGACCTCCTTTGCAAAAATCACAGACGATGTTAGAGCAACAGTCCTTAATTCGATGGAATTCACTTAAATATAAATACAGAAGTTTGTTTCTTTGACATAATTATATCCTTCTTTATGAGTCTTCTGTTTAAAATTTATGTCATTCGATAGATCATGTAATTTATTTTACAAAGAACAATTGTTTATTCTTTATTAGAGTTGAATAAGAACGATTTCGATTTTTTAATGGCAAGGCTGCAATGTCCGATACTGTAGCCTCATAATTTTGAACCAATCAATTACAAGGAGAGGAAAATCACGAAAACTTCCCACGGTTAACCTGATCGCTGAAGGGTCTCTAACCCTAGAATCAATTAACTCTAATGATATATTACGTCAGCACTGTGGTCAGTGGGAGTGGAATTCGTTACTATTAGCTATCGATGTGATTCGAACCCGGTTCATCTCATTAGTACGCTCTATCCCTTCAGCTGCCACGATTCTATCATTGAGATTTTGTGAGAGTTTCATTCTCCTCTAAGTACCAATATTTTTTTGTCTTGATATTTTTTTTTAATATTTTATATAAATTACTTTAAAGGCTAGGCTCTCTGCTGATATTGCTCCTTGGTGCTTTACCATTAATTTACTCCAAATAAAATTGAAACTTAAAGTACGATGCATCGTTCATAACCCTAATTTCATTTGCGTTTTCGAATTAAAATTGTTAAAAATACAGATTGGAAAAACAAAATTGTGAAAATTTTTGGAAGCTTACAGGGACTGCTCTCTTCGTCAATTATTAATTTTGATCGATTGTTTGTGGCTGAAAACTTGTCATTTTCATCTCGATCAACTTAAGGCGTAGTTTCGCTTATTCCTCTCCCGTCATCATATTTGTGTTCCTGTTACCGTATTGATCGACCACCAAGTCCAATATTTAGTGATGAATGGGTAAAATTACCCATCTGAGCTTCAGAATCCCAGTTCGAACTTTATGACTTTACTTTCCATGCAACAAACTTGAATCGAACTTACTTACCTAAATTGTTTTAACTATTCCTGGTAAGTTAAAACATTTTGAAGAACAATGCGTTAAAAATAAACGGTCCACTTTGAATAACTTTTTATCTAATTATTGGATGTTCACGCTCAGTTTTAATGATTCAAAGGGGTGACCTCAAATATGCTAATTAATTAGGGCAATTCACTGAAACAGTTAAGAGATATGGTGAAATATGCAAATCTAAAATTGACGGGTCATAACTTTGGATCGCACTCCCGACCATATTTCCCAAATTGCAGTTACACTCAACTCTAATTCTCTTATTTACAGCAAAAGAAGAAAAAATTCATTTTAAAATCGATGATTACGCGAATTTATTCCTGCTAGGAAAAAATATTATTTCAGTATCAGGGACCTTCATACCTGCCAACTCTTCCGGAAGATTTTATTTTCATATTTAAAGTGGTAGTAATTATATACTACTTTTTTCTTTTATAATCCAAATTTTTAAATGATATTGATCACCACTATTCTTACAAAAAGTAAGCACGTATATTAATATGCGTTACTATCATGGTTGTCAACTTAAGTTTTCTCAAATACGACGTATTTGTTTGCTTAAAATTGAATTTTCAATTCCATTTTAATGCCACTGGGAAAAATGATAATGGAAGTCGGCAGGTATGGACCTTCCTTTTTTAACTCTAGCTCAAACTAATCACTACATAAAGCCTGTAGGATCAGCTGAGCGGTGCTACAAACAGCTTCAGTCTTGTGACCTCTATGCTTAGAAAGCCTTGAATTTTAATGTTTAATATAGTTTTTAAATTAAAAAATATATTGGTAGCTCATTCATATGCAGTATTATGAATTATAGATCTGTCGAAAAGTCCTGTTCGCGAAAATACACGCTATCCTACACCCACAACAAAACTTTATCCTTAAAAGGAAACATGCGCGAATTAATATTCGAAGATTTTCGCGAGAAAATTTGAAAGCCGACTTGGCGAATGTAAGATTGGCGAATTTCAAAATACGGTGCCAAAGAAGTGCCCGGGAGTCGACAATGTGTAAAGTCGCCCCTGGGTTCGCTGTAGGCCTAGTGTCATGGCTGTGCATGTTTGTGTGGGGAGAACCTTATCTGTTGTACCTTCTTGAGAGTATACCGTCGGATAGCAGGAAGTTAATAATAGGGTTGTGGCTCCTACTATCTTGGATAAGTTCTTTGTCCATAATATTCTTGTAATTTACTGTATTTGTGTTGTTAGCACTATGAAAAAAGCTAGCGCTCATTAGGTTAATATATTCGTTGACTGTCTCAATATTTAGGTCTCTACGTATATATTTATTTGGGATGTGCCAAGGGGCTCCAGTGATTCTACGTAGGAGTTTTTTTTGCGGTGTTTCCAATTTCTTGATTTGGGTGTTGGTGACACAGTTCCATGCAGGACATGCATAAGTGAAAATCGGTCTTATGCAACTTAAGTAAAGGTGCCTTTTTAAATTTAATGGTAGCTTTGAGCTGGAGTTCAGTAAGGGTCGCATGCTGGCGAAAGCAGCTTGTGACTTTGTAATGATTTTGCTAATGTGGTCATTCCAGTCAAGTCTATGATTCAGGGTGAGCCCCAGGTAATCGGCTTTATTTACGACCGGGATGTTATCGGAGAATAGGTAAACTTTGTTTGTAACCTGTCTACTTCTTTTCCTTCTTCTAATAAACATAAGTTTGGATTTGTCTGTATTAATTGCTATTTTATTTTTTGAGCACCATTCTTCTATGGCAGGCATGTTCTCGTTAAGCTTTTGAGCTGCGTGAAAAATTGCTAATTTATATTTATTTTTTTAAATAGCTCATACTGGTAGTTTTAAAAAAATGAAATTTTGATTTATATGGAATTGAAGTTTCCTTTTCGATAAGGTGTTTATCAATTGTAATTAATACGAATATAGATCTTTGTGAGTTCAGTAAAAAAACGTATAAAATATCGGGGGTTTTTTATCCGCAAATTCTTTGCAACTCCTGAATTGTGTTTTAGTAAAGACAGCGTTTTTTTTTTTTGCAAAAATAATACTATTCGTAAAATTTCTCGCATTGCTGTTCGAAGAGGATGGTAGGGGAATTTTTAAGACCCATTAAGAAATACAAAATACATTTCTCCTATCAAATATCTTC